CTCTTTCTGTTAGTATCTCACTTATATTTTCCACGTTAAACCTGCCAACGTTTAAACGGTTTATAAACAGTCCCAGTCCGATAATTTATTAGTCTGAGTAGGAAGAGGTTCTTTGAATTGTCGACCCACGACTTGTCGCTGTTATATCTATAAAACTATTTATACTTGTTAGAAATCAAATTCGGTAATAAAATTATTCGAATGTTTTTAATCCTAATAGTAAAAAAGACTTGAAAATTATTCGCCATTATTTATTTGCAACAATTAATAATTTATATTAATTAAAATCTAATATTTTTTAATCATTCAAATGATTTGGTATTAAAATTTGAATATTAAAAGAAAGGATAGAAAAATGTGAAAAAAAAAATAGTTTTTGTTTTTCAAAACACAGTCATGATAAAGCACAATTGAAATAAAAACAGTAGGATAAGAGAGAGAGAGAGAGAGAGAGAATGAAACGGTAAAGGCACAGAGGGGAGTTTGAGACTTTTATAGCGGCCCATTTGGCGCAACAACAAGCGTGGAAAGTTCTTTTAGTGTTGGGTCACAGATTCCGGATGAAAATATGCGTACGATTATGGGGTTCCGGATTATCAATTTGTTATACCGTGTTTATTATTTGAACACGCTATCCGGCTTCCTTCACGGAAAATTTGGCCAGTTGTAAAACACGGATTCGTACATTTTCGGAAATATGTTAGAATTAGACTACTATGATTTCTCCAGATGTTAGCATCATATAGTGAAAGCAGAACCATAAAGAGTGTTCGTTAAATCGTGTATGGTAGAAAAGTTCTTTCATTTGGAATAAAATAAATATATATTTATATTTTCATTATATATTTCCTGTACTTTCACTTTTTAACTTGATTTTCTTTTTTAAATCAGATTTCATCGGTTGCATTTGAAACAACAAACCAAGTGTATCCATGAATTTAATACTTTCGATCATCATCACATATTTTGCAAGACAATTTCCTTCTATTAAGCTACGCTTTTTTCTTTTTGTTATCATAATTATTTAATTTGAAGATAAAAATATGAAAATTCTTGTAAGTAAAATCTTTGGATGGTTTAAACGAAGGAAAGATTTTGAATAGAAACGCTCATTAGGAGCGTTGATCTTTCGGAAATTTCCCGAGCGAAAATGTCGTCTATTTTAAAACAGCAGACATTGCTCGAAGATTGCGCTTTCAGAGATATCAATCTTGAGACATCCCCTTTTCTGTCTCGTCCTCTCTCTTTCTTTCCTTCTTTTTCCTTTCTCTTTTTATTTTTCGGCGACGATAGGACGGACTGACGGTTCTAGGGTTCGTCTTGCTTGGGATTTAGTACGAGAGTTATCTCTAATTCGGCAAGGATTTATTTACCAATGAATCTTGAAATTAGATGCGATTCTATTTCGAAATCAAACGATACACAGGAATAATAGGGAGTGGTTCAATCACACGCATCGCAAAATCGACGAGAGAGAAAATATTCTTAGATGTTTTCGATTATTTTCTAATCCTAATATTTGTCTCTTAAATTGATTTCATTTACGATATAGAAATTTTCAATCAACGTAGATTTTATCTGTCCATTTGAAATTCTACGTAGAATTGAACTTAAATTACAATTAGTAATTATATTAAAAAACAAATCTAATGATCAGATGATTCCCAAAGTAGAGTCGAAACTTTGTCGATCCTTTTGAAAGTTTGTCAAATCGGATGGAACCGAAAGAGAAGGCAATTGTTAACATTGGCGGTTCACCGTCTGTCATTATTGCGAGATTAATTAGTAAAAGGGGATGGAGTACGTGGGAGAGTCGCGTAGAAGATGGAAGGGTGTCTACAAGATGGCTCTGTTGAAGAAGAAAGAGGAAGAAGTTGCATGGTGAGAGTTGGGTCTTAAGTAGTATGGTTGAAGTAAAGGGGATGACGATCATCTGGCCTTCTCTCTAGCCTAGTTCTATCCCAAGGGATGCAGGAATTAATTGACACATCGGCTTACTCTTGGAGGAAGCTCTTGGCCAACGATGCTGATGACGACGACGACGAGGACGAGGACAACGACAACAACGACGACAACGACGAGAACGATGCCGCGACGTGACTGATGAGACGTTTCGAAGGAGACGTCGAGAAAAACACTCGTGGATTCCGTGACTCCCTTCTTTTTTTTTTTTTAAGCCGGAACGTCGACTTTTTTTTGGCAAGAATTATCGTGGGGAGGATATATAGGAAGAAAGAGGGTGATTTGGGATGAGAAGGTTTGGTACTCTCCTGGCAAATAACTCGACTAATCAGAGCCATCTCCCATCTCAGTGTTCCAGAACGACGACGACGACGACGACGACGACGACGACGAGGTTTCAAGTAAAACACCTCCTATAGGGCAACGGCAATGTAACAGATTGGAATTTAATACGAACAGGGTGACACGTTCACGCGTTTCATCCCTCTTACGCACTACCACACATCCCACACACTAGAAACACATTGGTTAGAAACGGACTAAAGCCAACAGGCTTTCAGGAACAGGCGTTACGTTAGTCAATGTTACCACCAAGAAGGATCCATCTCCTATCCTATCCTATCCAAGACCACAACTTAGAATTCGTTAGCGGCTTCTCACGGAGGCACTCGTAATAACCCGCTGACGAGTCCAACTCCTGTTGCTTTGACTAATTGAAATTCGGAGATGAATAATCAAGAAGATAGACGGCGAATCCGTCGGTATATTCCTTCATCATTCATCGTCAACAGTTACCAAGAGATCTTTCTTAACTTCCTAAGAAATATTTTCGAACGTTTAACGTTACTTTCAATTTGACATTATCATTTGTTTCAAATATAGGTTTTTATACCGTGTCATTTCGAATCATCAAAAATCTATCTTAACGAATTCATTTAAAATTCTTTCCAAACGACAGATTTCAAAGATAAGAAAAGAAATGATTTTCCAGTAACTTGTTGGACCTTACGAACCATATCGAGTAGCTATAAATCTGAAAAGATCCGTGGCACGAGCCACATGATGTCCTCGTAACAGAAGGTTGTACGCAACAATGGATTCGAGATACGAAGGGTTGGCGAACTTTATGGGCCACTAGGGTCGCCATTCGACAACAGTATCTTACACCGTTCTCCATTTATCTACCTATTCTCCTTGTCTCTCCATCCCCTTCTCTCTATTTCTATCTCTCTCTCTCTCTTTCTAGCAACCCATCTCTTTCTCTCATTCTCTTGGGTGAGTATAAACACCGACGACACCGATTTAACCGATCCTAAAGTCCTGTGAGTGGTCAGAGTCCATGGCGAAGGACGGTCCACGGTACACGCTGGAAGATTAAGTGTTTGGCACGAAGGTTAACCAGCCGCTGGTCGGCGGTAACACGCGGAATCATCTGTAAATTGAGCCCTGGGTTAACGGGAGAGAGAGAGAGAGAGAGCGTCGGGACGGCCATAACTCACACGGGGGTGCCTCCGCCTCCGTCAGCAATGTAGGGGAGGTGGTGCTCCCTACGTTCTATCCTACAACAACCCCCGCCACGTGTTTTCCCTTATCGTCTACTGCTACTACTCCGGTCATCTTCCCGTGATTTGTGAGCACTTTTTTTCTTTTCAAATCTTACAACATCTTTAACACAACTTACATACAAATATTATCCCGATATGATCTTTCTAAAAACAATTATAAATATGTTGTCATTTAATTGGGGATAAAAGTACTAGCTAGATCTATTATTTTGGTAATTGTTTTCGAATAAAATGTTATTTTTAGGACGATTAAATATTGTTGATAATATTAGAATAATTAGAATTGTATGTATAATATATCAATATGATGGTATTTTAAAAAAATAAATATTAAAAGTGATATGATCACCAAAGATAAAACTTAGCTTCACAAATAGTTGTAGTTTGTAGTATCCATGATCATGAATAAAAAGGCATCAGCGACGATTTATCTCGAAAACAATAATTCATTGGATTGTGAAAGGGTTGTAGGGAAGCGGCATGTGCGTCCGAGGACCGAGAACCTATTGAGGAATAGAGCGTTCGTTCATGGAACGATACATCATAATTTGTTAGCTCGTGTTTGCAAATGCTGGGGAAACGTGTGGTTTTAGTGTGTGGTGCACACGCCAGATGCTTTCGATCTTGGAAAGGTTTCTCGGGTCGAAGAAAAGGAGTGGCTAGGGTTATCATTAGCCGACGGACATTGGACACCCTGTAGAGAGACACAATACAACAGTGGCAGGCTAATAGACTCCTACTAAGCTACCTAATGTTGTAACCAGATAAATTGAATTCTATGAAGTACCGCTTAATAAACGTTTCTATGCATTGATAGTTTTTCTTTGTCATTATCCTAGTTGAAGATGAGGTAAAGGTGAATGATGAGATAATCTTTTTCTTTTTATTTTTATGAGATTATCTATAGTAAAGTTATTAATCCGATTTTATATCCTGATGCAACGATAATATATGTATTAACTTGATAAGATTGCAATAAGGTATTTTAATAGATTTTTTTGCTTTATCGTATGCAATTAAAATAGTATACGTAAGCTTGATATTTAAATATATAAAGTACGTAAGATTATATAATAAGATAATACTTCAAAATGGAGTATAGAAATTAAACGAGATGGGCGTTAAAATTTCTAAGAAGCATTAATCCGTTAGAAAAATAATGATGAATTTCTTATAAATCTTTCATATGTTACGGTATATTATACATATCTATAAGTAATAACAAAAATCTTTCATTTTAATTGAATCTCATGCAAATGTCTGTTGAGAATTATTATCGATAATAGAAAATCTTCGTTAAGTTATTCAGAGTTTAGATATTCATCCGAGCCTTCCATGCTATCGTAAGTAATCTTAAAATTATCTTATATATTTTAGGCTAATTAAAATGAAATACTTCTTGAATATTGTTCTTACGTTATGCTTGTATATGAAAGATATAGATTGGTAAGCAAGTAGGCTTACCTTGCTGACTACTCTTTCTAGTGGTTTTCTTTTCCTTCATCCAAGGATATTCAGGTACGTTGACACCAGATGGATCAGTTACTCCGTGATGATCCATCATTCCATGATAGGGAGGAAGGTGTGCTCCAGGACTTATGGAACCACCGGTACCAGGTGAATGCTGAAGGTTCCCATCGTTAGGCAATTGCGGCAAAGCAGTCATGAATTCGGCCATTGAAGGTTGACTATTAATGAAGCCGGTCTCGGCAGTTACACAAGTTGGGTCCATAGTTGGATGATGCGTTGAGTGCGGGGGCAGCCCGGCTGGGGCACCAACCCCCGCGGCCACCGTGGCCAGCCAGAAGCCGCCCCCTCCGTCGTTCGCCAGGACGGGTGTCGTCGGCCTCGTCTTCAAATTTGTGAACTCTTTGGTCACACAGATTCTTGACCGGTCACCTACCTGCTCAACGATCTCACTATTATGTTGATCCTCAAGCTTATGATGATCTTGTCGTAATAAAGCTTCTTGCTTACCACGCATGGAACACACTCGATTATACTTTTTTATATTTTTTCTTTCTCTTATTATGTATACGATACTTACTATAGAGAATCGTATTTAATACAATAGAATACTATAGAAACGAAAACAATAACAACAATAATAATAATAATAATGATAATAATAATAATAATAATAATAATAATAATAATAATAATATTTTTATCTCATAGTATGTGATGCTTTCTCCGTCGCGTTTTCTCTAGTTGCACAATGATTTTGAATTTGTCAATTTTTCCACACGAACCAAACGTAGATTTTTGTTTTAATCGAAATAATCCCGCATATAAAATGCTATAAACACACTGCCCATACACTGTCTTCACTTAGATACGATTTTATCAACGACGTGTCTTGTCTTTATTTTCACCTCACCAATTACACTACCGAGAAAGATGATTATTTCGAATAAATGGGTCGTCGCGAAGGTTCTAGATAACAATTCGCCGAGGCTACGATCACAAATCACTTTCGAAGGTATCACGAATATCGTTGGGTATCGTAAACGTATCGTAAACCGTACGACCGGAATCGAGAGGAGCGAGGAAGCAAGCAAGCAAGCAAGCAAACAAGCAAGCAAGTACAGGCGGCCAGCGGCGACGGATGGTCGACGAGTGAGGAAGGAAGGAGGAGGTAGAGGTGCTGTATGGTGGAATGGTGATGGAGTGGTAGTAGGAGAAGGTACTAGTGGAGGAAGAGGTGGAGGAGGAGGAGGAGGAGGGATTGGTAGATAGAGGAAGGGAGGGTAGAAAGTCAGTCGAGAAAAGAGAAGAAGGGGCGTGAGGGTGGTGGTTGAGTAGAAGAAGTAGAAGAAGATGAAGAAGTATAGAAGAAGAACAAGAACAAGAAGAAGGAGAAGAAGAAGAAGAAGAAGAACAGAAGAGGAAGAGGAAGAAAGTATAAAAGGTAGGTGGGGACAGGAAGAAGAGATGGTGGTCTTTTTGAAGAAGATGACGACGACGAAGTAAAAGAGTAGTAGTAGTAGAAGAAGAAGAAGAAGAAGAAGAAGACTAGGTGGAGTAAAAGAAGAGGAGGAGGGGGATGGAATTCCAGTGAGAGGAACCTTTTTCTTCCCTCGACGTTCTCCGTTGCGTGTCTCTGTTGTTACTGCTGTCTCTCTTAACTCGCGCGTGACACAAACACAAACGCGCGCGCGCACAGCGTAGTTATAAATGGAGAAAGAGGTATATATATATATATATATATATATCTACATATATATATATATATGTGTATATAGAGGCGAACGTAGAAAAGAACACATAGAGTCATAGGAGGGGGTCCTTCGAGTTCCCGTGCACTGAAGTTTTCTTCTTGCGGGTTAGCTCGGTGCGCGCAACGCCGGTGCGAAAGAGGAAGGACCAATCCGGTGCCGGTATCGGGCCCGTCCAGGCACGGCCCTCTACCGTTTGTAGGCGGGCTACACGTCACACTGAGGACTCGAGTGCGAGAGAGTAAGCAACGTGTTCATGGTGAATAGGACGCGTAGCGAACGCAGAACCGAGAGACTCTCTCAGGTCCGTGAGCCTCGGGTGAGTGCGAGGGAACGACTCGAGTGGAAAAGCACGAGGCTAGGCTTCGTTGGTAGGCCACGCTCTCTCCCTCTCTCTCATGCTCACTGCTACCGTGGGCGGGACGCCAAGCACCCCCTCTCTATTCCTTCCCGATTAAGGTGGGGGTGGCTTTCTCACGTGCTCGGCCACGAGGTCTCTTAAAAACTCTCTTTCTATTTCTATCTCTATCTCTCTCTTTCATTCGAAATAATATCCAGGTATATACCTAACATTTCTGAAAAGACAGCATCACTCTGACAGTCGATAGTTATGTCTATACTTTTTTTTAATTTTTTTTTTCTTCAGCATATTCATTTTTTACTTTTATTTTTCTACATTTTTCTATGCCACTATTCTCTCTCTCGCTCTTTCGTTTTAGTTGTTTTCTTTTTTACTTCTGTTTATAGCGACCACTTACAAACAAATCAGTATCCTGATTGACAATAGATAGAGTTACGTCTATTCTATTCTGTATTGTTTTAAAAATCTATATATTTTGTTTTTTTTTTTTTCTTTTGATTTTCCTAAATTTCTCTCTCTTTAGTTTCGGAACCTCTTTTTTTCTTTTTTTTTCCTTTTCCTTTATGTTTGTATTCCCTTTGGTATACTTAAGTAGTAGTTGACCTTTTTCGATTAATTTTTATTCTTTAGAAATATTAGAAAAAACTTTCTTTGGAAATGTTTTCAGTTATCTCGTAAACCCGCGATGACGTAATTTCAAACCTTTCTTTACTATTTAGAAAATCAATTCTTTTGTAGTTCTTATCTGTTAAAACTAACAATAAGTGAATAAATCAGTTGGTAAACATCTATTGATATGGAAATTGGTTGTATTCGTCAGGTATGTTCTACCTTTTTAGAATAAAATTATTTATGAGATTTGAAAAAAATTCAAAACCATTAAGAACATCTAAAACCTTTTCTCCTTTTCACTAACACAAAATATATTTTCTATCTCACCAAAATTTAGATCTAATTTTATTTACCAACGAAATAAAAAAGCAACTTTAACTGTCCGTATATATCTGAAAATTAGAAACCAAATAAAAACAAAAACCTTTTGCTATTGTTTAGATGTTAGAAAAAGGATATCTGATCTTTATAAAAAAAAAAAAGAAAAACCCCATACAGCCCTCGCAAACGGAAACATTGAAACGTTAGGAAATGAATTCATTAAATTGCTGTCTTTTTTCTATTCGATCTTTTTTCTTATTTTTTTTTTTTTTTTTTTCGCAAACGGAAACATTGAAACGTTAGGAAATGAATTCATTAAATTGCTGTCTTTTTTCTATTCGATCTTTTTTCTTATTTTTTTTTTT